ACGCGTTGGTGAAGGGTTTCTTTGAAAAGAGGCCAACAAGCTTTGTTTGATTTATACAAATATGTGGTTGTGGATCTATTGTTTGTCTGTTCGGCAGAAGAAGAGGTGGGGTGTATCTGTGTGTGTGCATGTGAATAATTGATATGGAATTTTATAGCATTGTGCTGGGAGGATGGACATGCCTTGAAATTAACCTTCCATTAGGATATGTAATCCAGGATGGAACCCGAGGCCGAGAATGTAATGTCGACTATCGACGAGCAATTGCGACCGCGGGTGACGGCTACGAACGTTGGCGTATTTTCGATGTTGCAAACAAATAGGGATTGCTATAAATTAGATCCACTACATCATCGCCTTTTGAATTTCCTCAGTGACTTCCCCATATAGGATGCCACCCGTTCAAATCCACTGTGGCTGGATTTGATCGTAGTCTGTATGGCGTTTACACGCATCGACATGCACGACTTAAGCCGATGTTGGTGTTTACACACTACCAAGGGGCCAAGCATTCTTTAGTGGTTCACCAGTTATTTTGCTGTGGATTACGGTCCAGTTCCCAACTTAACGTCCCTCTTCGGCGTGTACGCGTTGGTTGGTTGGCTCATCGCACAGGGTGTGTGAAGCAGTGTGCGTTTACCGCATTTTTTTTAAATGTATGTATATTGAGTAATTGAGTACGTGATAATTGAGTAATTGAGTACGTTACCACTGTTACGTTAATCTCAACGTATTTTATATAAATAATGTTAACATTTTTCAAATCAGAAGGGATGAATTAATAAGGAATGGACTGACGTAAACTTGATACAAGTGGAGTAAGGACGAATATATGTTCTTAACCTTTTGAGCTCCTTCTTCGTGAACGGGGTTTTTTAGCTAAAAATAATTATAAGACCTTCGATTGCTCTGGTGAATATTAATTCTTCCATGTGATACCTCAAAGAACTAAGTTACTATACAAACACAACGTAAATACGGGCCCTAACTAAGTAATCACGCCTTGAATATTACTAACGGCCTATAACTAGACAACTAAACCTTTAGAAAGATCCTTGGTCAATATTTTGTTTATCTGGTCACATGTATTTTAAACATGCGGCCATTTATATACAATATTATAAGGGGGGGGGAGCGTTACTATATCAACGATATGTTACAAATCAGTAACATTCATTACTACGCAGAAGACAGCACTGGTTATGACTTATACGCCGACCGTGCTAATATTTTTTGGGAACACGTCGTCAAACTTTTGAACAAAACTGTTTTCATGTCTGGGCTGGCGCATCGCAGTGCTAGCTCCTTCCACTTGATCGCATCCAGCGCAGAGTGGTTGAATCGTCGACTACCAAGCTCTTTCTGATGGCCTTGACTCACTGGTCCTGCGAAGCGATATTGTATGTCTTTTCGTATTTTATCTTATCTAACACGGGGAGTGCTCAGAAGAATTGTTCGGAATTTCAGCGGCTCATTTTTACTATCACAAATGGCAACAAAACTGACTATGAAATAAGGTTATAAATAAAAATATTAATATGAATATATTAAAAAGACTTGCGTGCGTTTTATTTTTTGTATACGTTCTGCTTCGGCTACCATGCCTCATGCACTAAAACGAATACGTTGTTGGGTCTTGTTATATAGGTCAAAACAAAATATTATAAAGTGGTCAGCCATATAGCGCGAAGAAATGAATACCGATTTAAAAGAAAGGTTCTCGAGTGCAAACGTCGTGAAGCCCGTGAAGGGAAGGGCAGTTCCCCACTGGAAGTAATGACGATCTGATATGACATGTAAGAAATGATGGATGCAAGTAGCTCAAGATTTTTTTGTGGCGTCCCTTGGAGGGTGTCAATGTTTAGTATTGGGCTTGCGAAGGGCTGTAATGATGATGATGATAGGATTATGTATAATTTTGCTCATATATTTATATTTTTCTGTGTAATTTTAAATTTCAATAAAAAATATTTAATTTCGTAGAACGCCTTCATTATTTTTCCGAGCAAAGAGTTAAATAACGTACTCGTTGTTAAATACAACAAAGGTGTTATACCACGTACGTTCATAAGTTTTGAGCAAAAAGATTTATATATATGTATTATATAGAAACTCCGTATATAACGCTTTTCCTATCTAGGTGGACGACTTTGTACGCTATTCTTTCTTCTACACTCTTCGAAAGGTAATTTATACATGATAAAAGCTATATATATATATATACATATAGGTACTATAGAGTGGGCATTGGGAACATTTCTATACAAAAACTTTGAGCTAGTGACCGTGTGACGCCCTCTAGAAAATAGCACAACAACGCTAAGCATTTACTAACTCAACATTTTAGCTATTCCCCAGTAGGTGACGCTAATAAACATAACGTCGTTTTAGGAATGTTACCATTTCGATATCAAACTATCGATAAAGTTGTTGAAGATTACTAAAAATTCGATATAATAATAGGGAATATAAACGATTGTCTTATTGTATGAATCTATTTATCATGACTTCCATCACATGAAAAAAATCATATTAATTTTTTACGCCCCGTTAGTGTCATGAAATAAAATATTTAATTTCCACTAACTAAAATTCAAATCAAACAGCAGTCACTTTGGTGGCTACCTTGGTGGCATCTTGGATGACGTCACTCGGTCCATTAGATGCTATAATAATAGCATATGATTAGTCGGTCGACGTTAAAGACACATCGAGAAATGCCAAATCCAATAAGAGAGCGCATCTATGTTTTTAAATTCGTTTCTATTATAAAAATACACTTCAAATCTAAAATATTTTAGGAAAAAGCTGAACTTAAAAGCCGTTTCACGATTTTTCACGTTTGCAGTAATTAAAGATACTACTCACATCAATAAAAATTGTTATTTTAAGTTTTTACCTTATTTTATAACTCAGGCTTAACCTACAACTGCTTGCATCTAATATCTTTAACAGTACAAATTGTTTTTAATGTAACAAACCTATAGCCCTCTCCTATCACTGTAAGCCAGGATCTATAGTGGCTTTGTCCTTGAAAACCACCAGACAATTAAGCCCGGTGTAAAACCACCAGACAATGAAGACTGGTATGTAAAAGAGAAGACTTGCTGTATTGCTAAACATCAACACAGCAAGTATTCTCAGCGTGCTCATAAGAAACACATAAAATCTCATTAGCATGCAAAAAAAAATTTCCCACCTTTGCTCCACATATACTAGGGTACTTAGCATGTTAGTATGGGTACAGTATCGTTGACGATTTTACCTCCTTAAATATTGTAAAGGATTAAATCAGCATCCTGTATATTTTTTTTATCGATAACCCCAATCAATAAACGTCTTCAATCCTTAACTTTAACATTGGTAACTAAATAGTGACGTTACTGGACAACAAAGGGCGCTTATTACAATAAAAATGAATGTTCTAGAACAATCTATTAGAAATAATTAAATTTAAAGATTATTCGGTAAATATACGTTATACTTACGATAGTAAATCGAAATCACGTTCATTTTTTGCTCCATATCGTGACTTAGAATATCTTAATGCACAACCGGGCATATTTTCTTTAAAAATATTTTTAAATATATGAAGCGAATGCGTCTTGACTTTTTGACAATGTCACTAAGACTAAATGACAAAAATCGGAAATATATCCTATAGGCCAAGAGTTATAGACGACAATTTTGCTGCTGATGTTCGGTCTATTACTACTACTTAAATGTCTGGTTTTGAGACGGATTTTGATACAGAATTAAAATATGAAATAGAGCTGGCAAATTGGAAACCTAGTTTTTGCTTTTTAAAATTTAAACTCCAAACGTTTCAAATAAGAAAACACAATTTGTAGATTTTCATTTTTTTCATTAGTTTTTCTTTTTTTTTGTGAAAATGGCGCTAACATTAAATTTTTCGACGTTGATCCTAGTTCCGTTATTTAAAGCTGGGAAAAACCATTGGAGATATTTAATGAAATCTGAAGTTAAGAATGTAGCGAGAACTTCGCTTATTATATTATATAAGGGTATATGGAAAATCGTACAAGATGTGGCCGCCCGCGGTGCGTAAGGACTCCCGCTGATATCAAAATTATGGCATTAGAGAGAAAATTCGTCCAATTCCTTATGGGATTCAAAACAAATTGGCTTTTCAGACTAATATATCACGAATGTAAGTGAATAGAATTTTTAAATATGATTTTAAATTGAAGGCCTACGGTCGGATAACATGATATTTTCGGTGAAAGAAGAGTTTAACCGGCAGAATGATAAAGTTTATGCCAGAAGTTAGAAAAATGTCGAGCCTTCCGTAGACAACGTTCAGCGCACTCATCACTCTGCGAGTAAGACCATTTAGTGGGGTGTTCCATGCAACGGGGTTACTTTCCTTCATATTTAAAAGCAAGACAACAAAGTCAAGACAAAAAATTATCAAAACCGCATCTTGTAAGATGAGGTTTAATCGTTTAGTTGTACGCTATTTGTCGACAAATACTGGGTTTTCCAACAGGATTTTGCATCATTCCATAAGGCTAAGTCTACCCAGCGTTGGATGTAGACCCATTTACCAGGTTTCATTCGCAGCAAAGGTTGGCTGTCGTCGCAATCCGACTTGAATCCTCTGGATTATTTTTATAGACTACATTGGGGCTAAGAGATTGCACAAAGTCTCATTCATATCTGGATTACCGTTAGCGAGCCCTTGTCAAGGAGTCGAAACTTATTTAAAATAGGGGTGGGAATTTCGAATAAACAATATTTATTTTAACTCTAGGCGTAACTGATTATAATTATATATATAAACATTTTAAATATCTTCAAAAATATTGGAGCATTATTTTATCTCAAAACTTATAAACATGAGGTCGTTGTGGAAACAATAATTATACAAAGTACAATTTTTTCTGTGTTTATAGTTTTATATATTAATATTGTAAATGAAAACAAAATTATTAAGAAATCACGTTTTATTATTTTGGACTAATATAATAGTACTATCATTAACCAAGAAGTGAAGCAACAACACCCGGCGGTATGGCGCCTCCAGGTCCTTGCTCGATTGTTGGATTGAAACCGTTTTCGTCGGCGGTATAGGTAATTGTATACAACACATTGTCAGGTCCAAGCCACGAATACGATCCCTTCATGGCTACGAATTCTTCATCTGTTCCAGCGTTCCTTAGTTCACCTTGTTCTTCCTTCTTAGTGCCATCGCTTTGCTCGAAACTGAAAATAATATAAAGAAAATAATTGAATAAAGTTATCTTCAAATAAATGAAAAATATACCAACGAAATTTACCAAGTCCTAGGCTAACCAAAAATACACTAAAATTTTATTGTGTAACTCCTTTATGTTTGTACTTTTTCGTTAAGCACAACGGCTACCGTCAAATACTTTCCAAATATCTCTGTGTCCGGCTACTTAGAAAGTTTTGCAAAACTAAAAAAAGTAAATTTTTTATTATTAGATATTTTCAAAGAAGTCTTAACCAGCATCTATACAAAGTTTCTAGAGTTTGAACAAATTTTTGAAACACTTTCCCCTTAATGACCTATCGAACGCTAATCTTCCGGCATCCTGTATTCCTCACTGCTGATTTTTAATTTCAGGAAATAAAAAGAAATTACACGGTGCTATATAAGGGCACATTTTTTCAACCACAATGCACGAGAACGTGATTATTGTGAAGCAGTAGGTCGTGGAGTCCCATGTAGGGTAATTTGTTGCTCTACTATGAGTAACACTTATAGCACTCATTTGGTATTACTCGTATACCATTCAACATGGATGCTATTTCGATTTCGTTAAGTAATTGACATGAGATTGAAAACCACCGCGTAAAAGTTAAAAAGCTAGCGATGAAATTCTCCTTGCACTTTTCGATCGCTAAATTTTCGTAGGAGTATGTTCTACAGCCAAACGTCTACTGACGCATCATTTTTGGATTGTATTGATAAATCCAAGATTCATCACGTGTAATAATATCTTCATTCAGCAAATATGCCGAGGCGAGCCTGCTTCTAATTTAGTATTCAATTTTGTAATGATGTCATGGCACTACTACACGCGGGCCTGCTTTTGAGCACAGATGAGCTTGTGCGCTACTTAACGCGAAACTATCCCGCGAAGGTGATTCTGTTAAAATCTCGTGAACTCTTCGAGATTCAATCTGCAATATGTGCTCCCTTCCATAACAACCATCAAAGGGCAATCAGTTCTTTCTTCATCTCTCAAAGTTAGTCCACCAAGCCAAAATTTGTTATACTAGCGGTGCTGTTGTAGAAATACTGGCTTCGGCCTAGGTTCGAATCTAGAACCTGTGAGTAACCATATTACAGCAAATGCTCTCTACAACAGAAGAGACCTATGTTCGTCAGGTCTTTAAAGAGCTGATGAGGAAGAAGATAAAGTAAACTTGCATCTATAACAACGAAAATACTTTTACTATTGGGTATAACCATTTTATTTTAAAATATGCAATCAATTTTCGTATGAAATAAAAATATTAGTTATAGTGTTAGTCTATTCTGGTTTTTGGTTTTTTATAGTTGGTCATATTCCATACTCATAAATGATGATACATTTATGGCATTAACTTTGTGTATATATGTATAACATGTAACCAAAACCCTGGTATGGTTATGATCTGATGTAAAGTTTTTTCTATGCGTTTGAATACTGATTGTAATAACCACACATTTTTTGTAACATTTTGTATATATCTGAGACCTTTTCACGAAGGTAACTAAAATTCGACCTCGGTATGATATCATCATCATAATTTTTACACCACATCATAAACCCACTATTGAATATAGACCTCTCCCTCAGATCGACAAATGGATCGGTACTGAATGACTTGCATCCATGTAGAGTGGCACTAATCCAACAGTATGACTACTTGTATGAGGCTGGCATCTAATCACCTTCTTTTTTCATCAGTTGTCGGTTCTTCGAGCAACGGCTGGCTCACTACCACTCAGGATTACTGTTATGTTATACTCTTACTTCGATGTCTATCGCCGTTATGGGTTTCATCATCCAGAAAAATTCTGAGTTTCACTTAGTAACTTTGAGTTTCTTCATACTTCAAATAACAAGTTCCACGTCTTGGTTCCGTAAGTCATCACTTCATACATTAGGCAACATGTACGGGTTATAAACGTTTGTTTTCAAATTATTAGGTATAGTCGACAAGAAGATATGTTGTAATTTCTTGAACGCCGATCAAATGAGTTGGATGCTTTGGTTGACCTCTAGGTCGAAGTTGAACTTACCTAATCGTTGATTCTAATCAATGTAAATGTCACAATTGTAGGTATCTCATCTGTCCAATTACAGGTATGAGTACTTTTGTAACAATTCGTTTTTTTTAAATGTGAGGTTAGTATTTTTTGGGATGACCGCTTGAAATTTCTTAAGTTCTTGGATATTTAACCGTTGAATTTGCTAATATAGTAATTTTTCCTTACTTGTTGTGATAAACATCAATATTAGTACCCTATCATCAAATTTATTGGCATATTATTTAATGCAGGAAAAAATTAAAATGATGGGTATAATTCTGCTTGCATGTGAATCCTCGCAGATATACAGGGATATTTTTCAAAGAGTAGATAATTTTTAAACTTAATATTCTAAATTAAATGAAACTAATTTTATGGATTTTATTGCGTTTACTTTAGTACACCCGTAGCCGGGCTAACTATGACATGGGGACGTCAAACACCTCAGTTTCCCCGTGACCATGGGTGCTGTAAAGCACCCGAAACGTGGGATATTAAGAAGTTAAATTAAAAGCGATAAAATCCGTATAATTAGTTTCATTTAATGTGCAGTCTTCGTGTAAATATAAGAAATCATTATTATAAATTAAATGTGATTTATGGGCAACAACGTTTTTGCCTACCGATCAACCCGAATGTGTGCGAGCGCAATAAATCAGTGAAAATAATGCATTACCACGTAATTTGAATTTAAAAGATAAAAAAGGTAGGATGTTTGAAATATTTTTTAATTAATTTTTCTTCGCCATTTGCCTATATAGTTTATTCTAAACCTTCTTTGCTAATTTGACCAGTTATCGAAAAATAACACTGTATGTATATTAATTTTTATGACATATGTTGTTTGTAACATATGTTTATAACATAGGTTGAGAAGCTATATATAATTTTTATTAATTAATTTTTATTAAATATAATTTTAATTAAACCACTTTTGTGAGCTTTGTGACTTTCTATTAAAATAAAGGTACGTACGCAAAATTGTAAGTTCCCAGTCCATCGTTGTCAGAATCGAAGCGTAGAAGTTGAACTTCTTCGGCATTCTGTTTCGGACGCTGTGCCGCTTGGGGTGCTGCTGCCACGACGGCTACCAGACTTAATAAGACAAACTGAAATAAAGATAGTTTTATCAAAATGTTGTCTAGAAACCTTAGCACACTACGACAACAGAATTTTCATTTTAATTTAATCCCATCTTCGTAAGATTATCTCCTTGGAGATGTCTTTTGGTTACGAATAATCCGTTTACAAATTAATATAAGAACTAAGTAATAGAACAGACGCTGATCCGGCTCAAATAAGTTCTCCTCTTGAAATTGTTGATTTTATAGGAACTTTAAAATTATGACTTTCCTGAAAACACAGTTATGCAAATGAAATTTCTATACCATTACAGTCCATCAAATGTCCACTGCTGAACATAGGCATCTCGCATCGATTGCCTCATGGATTGTCCACAGTCGACACGCTTGACATGCGAGTTGGCAACCGCACTTCTTTTATTTTGTAGTTGTTATAAGGAAGATATTGCTGCCCATATGGTTTTTTCCCCTGTGTCGCCTCATTCAATACCCTTACGGGGCGATGTGGGATAGTGGAGATTATTTTATACAGTTAAATGTCAAATTTGAAATGGTCAAATGAATATTCTATTTTTAAAAATGTCGTTAGTTGAGAACTCTCGGTAGAGAGTAATTGTGTTCTGTGATTGAGGGATAGTTTCCTTAACTGTTGCACACAAGCTGGCCGGTGAAGGTGCGCAGCTTGAACTACTCCCACACATTAAAAGGGATAACGTGGGAGTTTTACTCTATACTGATTTCCAGACTTAGGAAAAAATGAGCTGGAACTTTTCGCGTATTCATTCCTAAGCCCCCGGTTTTCAACACTTAACACTAAAATCACATCATAATTAATATCACTTTGGCTTGTCACTTCGAACTAATGTAAGTAACACTTTTAAAATTTAAAATTGCTATTTTACCCACCAGTTTCATGGTTAGTCACGAGTACGAACTTTACTTAATCGATTCAATCGAAAATGTGGATGCATGACTTATGCAAACTCATATTATATACTTTTCTGAACTTCGTATTGCAACATAGTGGTTATTATTTGACGTATATTTATCTCGTCATGTTTTGTATGTGACCACTCCTAAGATGATGCGACAGCGAAATTAAACCTTGGATGATTTGAGGACAATTATGATAGGTATCCTTTCGCAATAAGTTTTATTCAATAAGAAGAAATGCTTTTAAGCTCAATAGTTTTTAAAGTTTGATTGTTTCTGATTTTTGTTTTTTTTTTATTTAATTTCAAATAAATCATTTCGGTTTTGCCTAAGATTCGTTCGACAATTTTTTAATAGATTAAGGGTGACAAACGAGCAAACAGTCCACCTCATGTTAAGTGGATACTATGGTCCATTGATATCTACATCTATCCTCGATTAAAAATCAAAACGCAGATGCGTTGACACCCCTGAGGACTAAGACGGAATGTCTCGTTTCCAGTAAAAAGGGTCTCGGTTTCACTAGATACACTATACGAAACACAGCAGCATTGAGCTGCTATTTTACGCTGGTATTCTGTGAGAACAAGGTCCTTCCCCGATCGAGCCGACCCATTTGTGTTACAACCATAACATAGCTGCAGCATGGCTTTCCGACGTAAAAATGTTTATATGTGGACATTAATAAACGTTTATGCGTGGTAGAGCCATGCTATACTTGGTACAGCCATGCTACAGTTATACTGTGGTTGTAGCACGAATGGGTCTCCTCAAACGGAAAAGGATCACGCTCTCACAGAATACTAGCGAAAATAGCAGCTTAATACTACTGTGTTTCTTATGGTGAGTGTAGAAAACCGGACACCCTTTTTACTGGAAATGAGGCAACCCATCTTAGTCCTCAGGGGTGACAACATATTATCTACATTTCATTGATGATGACATGATTCTTAACCGAGGATAGATGTAGACGTATTTGGGCACAGTATTTACTTATCATCAGGTGGACTGTGTGTTTGTTTGTCACCCTTATTCTCTAAAAAAAATCTGTCCTAAATTTTGTATAGAAACACTGGATAAATAGTTTTTGTGTATATAAACTTGTGTATATAAAATTGTGTATGTATATAAAGTTGCGTTGCCAGCTTTTTGGCCCCTTTTTGGACTGATTAAAAACTATTCTAGTTTTTACTATCTATCTATTATTGTAATTAATATTGCATATATTATGTGATGTACATAAATGATAAAATGTTGAATATAATATCAAGGGACTAATTTAAAACTGTGCCTTATATTATACCAGAGAACTTCTGTAAGTTTCATCTGTTGATGTCGTTTATTTAATGTTGATGCGTTAGAGTTAAAAGTAACCACAGGCATAAGTCTAACCTTTTGGTAGTAGTCAGTATCAAAAAGTTAAATGGACACATGATGACTGATATTTACAAATATGTTTGCACCGTACAAAGTATATTATACGTAAATGCCACTTAAAAATTGCTATTTTTAAACAGCAGGCGACGTAGTAAATGACATAACTTTATTGTTCACTAGCTTTATCCTGTGGCTTTGCTCGCGTGAACTATACTTTACGAATATCATTATTGTTTCATACCAAAATTTCCAAAACGGAGTACTTTTAGAAACACGTCACTGTCTGTCAATAAGTCTGTCTGTCTGTCACAAACATGATTCTCAGTGACCTTTGCATGTATCTTAATTTCAAAAGACTAATAATATGGAATATGTTACCCAAAAAACCGAAATATGGAGATAAAGTTTTAAATTCGAGTTTTTAAAGTTAAGAAATTAGTTTCGGAGAGGAAAATTGGAAATTAAAAAAATAATTTTTTGAATAATCGTGTGTTAAAAAAGTTAGCACCATTCAAAGTGTACTTTCTGTTTTTTCACACATAGCTCCAAAAAAAAACTAATCAAGTAATCATAATAAACAAGGTACGATTGAAGGAGACCTCTCAAATTTGTATCGAAACATTTTGTTATTATATTATTTTTAATAATGTGTGATTTCATGGGCTTTGTTTAAATCTTCACGACATGATGTTTCCTGGTGATATTGTGCCATATTATTATCTCCATTGATTTATCATCATCATCATTTAAATTTTTCACAAGTCTACTGCTGACAATACCATCTACCTTCAGGGAAAGCTCTAAAACACGGTCCTCAACCACCTGCATCCATCGACTTCCTGCATGTCAAGGTACGAAACTGCCACTCTATAATCTTTATACCCCATCGGTTATTGATTCATCGAGCTATATAACCAGCCCCATCGCCACTTCAGATAACAGCCGTTGTCTATGTCGATTACTGTGGTTCTACTGCGGATATCCTCATTTCAAAGTATATCACTCAGAGTAACTTCGAGCATACTCTCCATAACTCACCGAGCGATCTTGATCTTCTCCAAACAGCCAGCTGTGAAGGACCACGTCTTGGATCCATAAATCATCACTGACAACACGCACTAATTGTATACTCTTGTTTTAAAGTTTTGACGTATACATGCCGACAAGATGTGTTGAAAACTGCTAAACGCTGCCCAGCCAAGTTCGATTCCTTTCCATGAAATCGGTCGTTATCATTTTATTTATCATTGGAACGAAGTTCCTTATCGCAGGGTACGAATTTGACGGACTGGGCTAGGCGCGAATAAGTTGTCCGTCACGACCCTCTTTCTATAGTGCGAGCGAGATGAAATAATATCCATCTCCCTCGCACTTTTCTTATCTCGTCATGAAAGAAATATTATTTTAAATGACGCTTCATTTTAATAGACGCTAGTAATTGATTTATTGGTATTTGTTAATCTATACATATAATAAATCTGTAGAAAATTCGTGTCTGTAATTCTAATATAATCATGAAAAAACAAATCCAGGGGACTAAATTTTAGATTTTTCGTCTGTCTGTCAGCCTGTGTATTACCGATTCACGCAAAAACTACTGGACCGATTTCCATTAAATTATATATGCAGGTAGTTAGTAACCCCGGACCATTTATAGGCTACATTTTATCCGATTACAGAACTTAAACAAAAAAGGCTAAGTATTTTTCTTCCTTTAGATGTAAATTTTCTATTATATAATTATGTTAGTTAATAGGCAGGATGACGGGTGTTTTTTCAAATAAATATCATATTTGTAAATAAAGTTTAAAATTAGTTTTAACCTTTGTATAACAATTTGAAACTCTGCTGACGATATACGTTTTTATTATCAAAGCAGCACCTTCTATCATAAAATGAAAATACCTATATTTTTCCATTTTTAACTAATACATTAAATAATATTAATGAGTTACATTTACTCGTATATGTTTAAATAATTAGATTTATAAAATTGTTTAAACATCCTAACGTTTAATTTAATCGTTGTTTAATTTTAAAAGTGTAATAGTAAAAATTTAAAAAATAATAGATAATAGTGACATGTATCAAACGTATGGAAATTGATTTTTTTTTAACTAAAAATATATTAATTTTCATACCCTTGATATACTACATCTGTATTTAAAATTATTAAAACTGGTCTGTCTACAATTATTGTAAAATTCTCATTAAATCATTACTTTGTGAAATGGTGTAATTTCATGATATTTATCAATGTTTGTAGACCACGTCGTGATATAGGTTAATCAAATCAATGAATAGAGATCGTTAACGATATTAATAACTAAACACAACATTCATATCGTCAAATCATATTCATATCGTCAAATAGTTTTTTACCTCTAGCGGCGCCGATAGAGTGTTGTAGAAACAGATCTTTAACGGAATCAAGATCACTTTATGCCATCTTTAATATAATAAATAAATGTTCGCGGCTTTGGGGATGGCTCTTGAGCCAGTCGCACCCCAACCTTCTATAGCTGATAGTATAGTTTAGACTTTTTTCATAGTATTAATGTAATATAGCGCCCTCTATTTTCTGTTAAATAAACAAATTTTATGTAACTGATAAAATTAAATTTTAGAATGCTACTGAATACTTATTCGTGCAGCACTAAAAATTGTCATACTTAAAAATATCTAGACCGGTAGCCATCATCGAGATGATTTATCAC